AATGACCCTCCGAGGCTATGTTGATTTTGTGAATAAAAATTAAATTTGCCAGCCATCTAGTTATTCAATTTGAATGATTTTTTTTTTAATCTGCAGATTCTATTGATATTTACAAAATAAAAAAAAATTCATTCAAATTGGATTGCTAGATGGCTAGCAAATTTGATTTTTATTCACAAAATCAACATAACCTCGGAAGGTCATTTTGTTAGCAAAGATCCATATATTATTTTATATTTATTTAAATCTAATTCTATAAAAATTATTGAAATAAATTTATAATATTAACATCAGGAAAATTAGATCTGCAAAAATCTGTATTTTTGCAGATTTTTGCAGAATTTGTTGTAAAAAAAATCCGCAAAATTTTTTGAAGTTTGTAGTTTGGTACAGAATTGGATTTAATTTCTGCATTTATAGTATCAAATTTGAAGTTTTGCGCAGATTTTCATTTGTTTCATTGTTTAATTTTTTGCAAATCTAAACTACACTAAAAATTTTTCTGTGAACAAAATTTAGCTCTAGTAGAATATTAAACATTCTAAATAACTAATTGATATTAAACAAATATAACTAGTTAACTTTAACAGGTCTTGCCAATATTACGATAAACCCAACAAGTTCTTTCCACATTCGACTTTAAGATTCAAATTTTCAAATTCATCCTTATCATACTGTTCACATCTACCACCTAAATAGGTTGATAAAAATTTTTCAGTAAAAGCAGCGAATGAAAGCATATTTTTAGGCTTGACAAATCCATGGCCTTCATCACAATATAAAACATATCCAACAGATATCTTATTGCGTTTAAGTGATTCAAGAATTTCATTACTATATTTACATATCGATAATCAAAAACAAAATCTTATATAAAATCTGCATCACTTCTAAATAAAGGCATATATGTATAAAATATAACTTACTGTTTTTCATATTTAACACGTGGATCATTTTTACCTATTCATAAGAAATAAAAAATTAAAATATATACAAATACAAGACTTTAAAAATAAGTTAACAAAGCATACCCTGAGCAATTAGCAAAGGTTTTTTAATATTATCCGCATATTTTGATGGGCTACAAGATTCCAAATATTCTCTTCCTTTATCAGTATCAGGATCACCTCCTAAGCGGTACACAAATTCATCATATGAAGATTTCCAGTATGGAGGGATAGTTCTAAATAGACAATATTTATTTTATATATTAATGTAAAAGATTTCATGTGGTTTATGTTTTATTTTTTCAACATATAGTAAGCAAAAAAAATTATGTATTAGAAGATATAAAAACTTTAAATAAATGAATAGCATAAAGCAATTTATAAAAAATGAAAAATCAAAGACATTTAATTACCTAATCAGTTTTACTATTATATATGAATAAAATAATAAGTTTAATAATAAAATACTAAGAAAATGCGTAGCATTATAGATCAAAATGCGTGAATATGCATATTTGATACGCGTGTGGATTGACAAAAATTACAAAATTACATTTATAATATGATTTTCATAATGTTTAATATTGATACATCAGAAAAGTAATTTTTTTGGTTGAAGTGCATCAAAAAGCGTAATTTTTGTATCATTTCCCTCCGCTACGCTCCAAATAAAATAAGACAAAATATACATACCTAGATCCGAAGGTCCAGCGAATTCAATTCCACAAGCAAATTCAAAATCTTTTACATTTGTAAATGCAAGGCCTGCCAACGTGGCATACCCACCATAACTTTTACCATAAATTGCAATCTTTTCTTTGATGGCAATATTATTACGAATAGCCCATCTTACTGCATCTGTATTATACAAAAATCATGTAATTAAAATAATAAATGATAAACGTACACTTTTTTGATGACAAAACTTTAACCTTACCAATCAAGTCATCATTCATTTTTTTGCCCCATTGACCGATACCAACTCGAATTAAAGATTTACCTAAGCCAACGGAGGAACGATAATTTATATTTAATACAGCATAACCACGATTTGCAAATAATTGTGAATCAGCTTTGAAACAATAGTAATCCCGATTCCAAGGACCTATTGATATATAAAGAAATAAAATTATATAACTAAAAAAACTAGTAACATTATAATTTACAAAAGGTATAATAGTAATCTTATTTTTGCGTTTCCATGTTAATTTTTTCTAGAACTATTAAACTAAAAAAATAAAGTAATAAAATCTATACCACCGTGAACATGCAAAATTAATGGCAAAGGCTTTTTTGGTTTGTATTTTGTTGAAGAATCATATTTCTCAGCTGGAAGTGTGAGATAGCAAACTAAATTTAACTTATCCCTGGATTGAATTATTAAAGGAAAAACTGGACCTAATTTGTATTGTTCTAATTCTGGTCGAGCATCAAATAAATGATGGATAGATTGATCATTTCGATTATAAAGATAATATTTTGGAGGTTTATTTCCACTTTCATAAGACATTGTCCAAATTGAATTATCCAATGATTGAGAAAGTATATCGAATTCACTGTCATCAAATTTACTTAAAACAACCAAGTCATGTAAAATTTTCTCATCTAAGTGATACCACTGATCTCTAAGATAAGTAACTGAATAAGCAAGAGGCCTTCTAGTTGCAGGATGAAACAGAACCTTATTAATATCAGCTTTCTGATCTGATGGCTTGGCAATTAGCTCAAGTTCTTTATCATTAATGTCTAACTTATATAAAGAATTAAATTCACCATCATGTGAATCGAGTAGATAAATAGTACCTTCATTATCTAGAGAAATTACATTTGACGAGTTAGCATCATCAAGATTATAAGAAATAATTAATCGCCATTTATTGGAATTTTCATATTTAACATAAATTTCTTTTCCATTTATTCCATCATCCTTACTAGCACATCGAACTCTTAATGAATCATCAACAAAATAATCATTAAAGGATTGACTATTCTTTTCAATTTGTGTAATTTCAAGAGTTTTTTGATTGATTTTATAAAGGCTGTGAGTAGTAGGATCTGGCATATTAATTTTAATAATTATATCATTAGGAAATTTTGGTGATAGTCGAATAAGTTTTGACTGAACGTTGTCAAATGGAGTTAAGCATGTTACGTCATTTGTGTCAATGTTAACAGAATAAATTTTATAGTCTATATCAGATATTGAGTATTTTTTAAAAAAATATACAATTAATATAATTATTTCGTCAATAATTTCATCTAAGCATATGTTAAAATAACTATTATATTCACCTTCATCTCCATTCTTATCATTAGAGTATAAAATTCTATTATCATATGTCCACCAGAATTCTCTAATTCCACGATTTTTATCAAAGGTGATAGGCTTGGCGTGACTTAAATCATATAGATCATGACTTACAAATATGTTCATAATATCTTTACTTTGGGCAATAAATGCGAGATATTCACCATCATGTGATATCTTTGGTAATAATTTATTAGCATTACCATACAAATATTCCCGTGGAATAAGTTTAGTATCATCGGAATGCTTCAATAGGTCAGATAACCGCCAAGGAAAGCAATACATCTAAAAACCATTTTAAATCATGTTAATAAGTAATAAGGCTTAAAAATATAGTTTTGTTTAACAGAGAGTGATTGACACGACCCGGTTTATGAACCTGCTTATAACAGGCAAAATTTAACAACAGTAATCAATAGATTGGCGAATCGATAAAATAAAAAAATTAAAAAAACTTTGGCTTCTAATAATCAATTTAGTTTGAAATTTAGACTAAATTTTCATGTTTCTTTTTGAATACTTTCGGTTAATTACATTTCAGTCGACAACATTAACCTTTGTATATCATGAATTACACTATGTAGAGACCAATATTACCAACCCATTTTTCATCGTAGATTTTAACATTACCTGTTACGTTACACAATTTCATGTACCCCAGCAAAAGTAAAAATTTTAAATAATTTTAATCGAAATATCCAGACAACTACCTAATCAAAATTGATTGATTTTTTTTTTATTGAATTATGAATCTATAGAATTCAAATTAAAAAAAATTATCCATTTTTTTGGTCAGGTAGTTGTGGAGATATCTTCGCTCAAAGTTAGAGAAAAATCAAAACGCCTATCAAAATAGAAGCTGCGGCAGATTTTTTCAAAACTTTGAACGAAGATATCTCCACAATAACCTGACCAAAATCAATGAAATTTTTTATTTGAATTCATGAATCTATAGAATTCAAATTAAAAAAAAATTATCGATTTTGGTCAGGTGGTTGTGGAGATAACTTCGCTAAAAGTTTTGAAAAATTTGCCGCAGCTTCTATTTTGATAGGCGGTTTAATTTTCTCTAACTTTGAGCGAAGGTATCTCCACAACCACCTGACCAAAAAAATCGATAATTTTTTTTAATTTGAATTCTATAGATTCATGAATTCAAATAAAAAAATTTCATTGATTTTGGTCGGGCTGTTATGAAGATATCATCGCTAAAAATTTTGGCACTTGCACTTGTGGTTTGATTTTTTTCTAACATTGAGCAAAGATATCTCCACAAAACTGATGAAAATTTTTTTATTTGAATTCTATTTATTTATAGAATTCAAAAAAAAAATTCATCGATTTGTACAAGAATTTTAATTATGGCCGCGTGTTGCAATAGTCGCCATAGCTGAATTACAAATTTCTATAAAAGTATCAAAAAAGTCACTCATGTGGTTATGAAGAAGATATCATCGTTCAAAATTTTGAAAAAATTTGGCACTTGCCTTTGTTTTGATAGGCGTTTTGATTTTTCGATGTTGGTCAAATTATTGTGAAGATATCTTTGCTCAAAGTTAGAAAAAAAATCAAAACGCCTATCAAAACAAGCAAGTGCTAAAATTTTTTCAAATTTTAAGCGATGATATCTTCATAATAACCTGACCAAATAGATGTTTTTTTTTTTATTGAATTCTGTAAATATATAGAATTCAAATAAAAAAATTTTGATCAGTTTTGGTCAAATATTTGTGGAGATATCGTTGCTCAAAGTTAGAGAAAAACCCAAAATGCCTATCAAAATAGAAGCTGCGTCAAATTTTTTCAAACCTTTGAGTGAAGATATCTCCACAACCACCTGACCAAAATTGATGAAAACTTTTTTTATATTCTATTAATATATACAATTAAATAAAAGGTTTCATTGATTTTGGTCAGGTGATTGTGAGATATCTTCATTCAAAGTTTTGAAAAAAATTTGACGCAGCTTCTATTTTGATAGGCGTTTTGATTTTTCTTTAACTTTGGGCGAAGATGTCTTCACAAGCACCTGACCAAAATTGATAAATTTGTTTTTATTTAAATTCTATGGATCCATATAATTCAAATAAAAAAAAATTAATCAATTTTAGTAAGGTAGTTGTCTGGATAACTCGATTAAAATTTTTGAAACTTTTATTTTTGCCGGGGTACGTGAAATTGTGTAACCTAACATTAACATGAAAATTTGGTTGGTCCGTACAAATCTTGTCTACCACTCTCTCTATCAATGAAAAATTCTGACCTGGAAATTTTTCTTATAAAGATTGAGAATTTTTTTTTAAATAGCTTGAAACCCAAAGGGAGCATCCATGATTTACGTTTATAAAATAGGGACCTTGAAAGAATGTTATTTGGTATATTTTTGTATTATCTTCAAAATCCCTATAACAATACTGGTTCAACTTAAATTATCAATACCCCTAATTACAAGTAATTTTCTGCAATATTGTAGGCCCGCCAACATTCTATTTTTGGTTAATAATAATTTAATTTCATTTTAAATATTAAAGTTGTGTTATAACATTGTTACAACACATGTCATCGAGTAAATTATGTATCTTGCAGTATGTGACGCCGGAATATTTAAATTTAACAATATGATATGATTATGCACATATTCCCAACAATTTAACAAATAATAATGATGTATTTATATATTTAAAATTTTGTATAGTGATTCAAATTTAAAGTCAATTTGGGTAAACTTTGATATCGTTTAGAAAAAATGATAATCACTATATTAGTTGCCATCTCCGAACTTATCAAAAAACCTTTTTCAATCACTTCTTAGCGAGGTATAGGTTAGTTGCAAATCTATCTATATAAAAATTCTTCATGAACATATATGAATTTTTATATAAAACCTATTCTAATTTAGTAATAATTAAATTTAATTTTTATTCAGCAAATCTATCTTGTCGAGTACAAAGAAAATATAAATAGTTAGGATCTAAATAATTGCGCTCATTTTTCTGATGGTCATTTCCCCTACAGGCTATTTACCCGACATCACCCTAGTGACAATTTATTAACAATATATACCTACAATTTATGTGATGTCGGGTAAATTACCTGTGAGGGAAATGACTGTTGGAAAAATAAAGACTACAGGCTAGTGTTAAAATTAGTGCCATTACAATCCTTCCCGGTTAAGTTGATTTAGTGCTTTTAAATGACCTTTAAATGATAACAAAATGACCAATAACTAATTTCTTTTTACTAAGTAAAGCAACTATTAATAATATTGTATATTATTATTTGGCATAATAAACTATATAACTAAATTAATTAAATTGATACTTGAACCTTCCAAATTAAATGACCTTTTAAATGCGAAAAATTCATTTCAGATTCGGTCATTTGAGAACACTGAGATGAGGGTACACTATAGGAAAAGCTTCTTGAGTAAACGATTTTTTATATAGTGCGGGACAGTATAAACCAACACCCCTTTAATAAAAAGTGCCAAATTTTAAAATCACAAAATCAATTCTTATTGGCAAATTTTATATAATCAATTGTGATTGGCCAAAAATAACATAAATTTCTTTTATTAAATATATATTAAAACATCAAACTTAAATTAATATATGGGCTTAGTACTGCATATTCTTCAGAAAATCATTTTTCAAATTATAGCCAGACTTCTATAAATGCAACCACCATAAAATGCAATACCTCACTAAATGCATGGTTTTGACTTTGCTGCAAGAAATCATTAATGCTAAATTCGCTCTGCAAATGCAAGGTCACGCGGATCAATCAGATCCAAGATTTTGCGATTTTTCTGTATAACACTTTCCTCAAAAACTTTTCTTTATAAAACTACCTCCCTAACGCTAAATGCACATAGCCAATCGATTTAGTAGTCATGTTACACAAGCCTAATGATCAAATATTGGCTTTCGCTAATACTAAATGCAAACCTCCCTAAATGCACGGTTTAGGCTGGTCTGTACACATTGCATTTGTGGAGGTTTGACTAAATAATTCAAAGAGTATATTGCAAATTTTATTGATGTAAATACTTTTATTGGAAAATTGTACTAGCTGCAAGATTGTATTCAATAAGTATAAATAAAGTATTATTAATTAATTATTAAGTACTTATTAAGCACTTTAATAAACTTCATGATTTTTGTAAAAAAATAATCTTAATTTTATTCTAAATTGATTTATGTAAAAAGAATTCATTTGAAAAAATTATCAATTTTCCCTTTTTAGCACTTTGTCCATATCTTCCTAAAATCAAAATAAAGTAAAAACCTTTTTA